AAGGAGAACTATGTCTAGCAGTAGACTAATAAAGGCTGTTGGTGATGAAAATACAAATAAAATTGCCTTGACACTTACTTTTGAAGTCTAATCAGACAGTAAAAATTATTATTATATAGAAACTACTTATTGTAGCATTAAAATATAGTGTAAATATTACTAAAATGCGGATACCAATAACTTACGATAACATTGACACACTTTAGGTTTGAATTTATTACGGTAAGTGGGTAAACTTTGAGAGAGAGGGAGCTTATTTTTAAGAGCGCAATAGTATGTTTTAAAGTGAATCAAACTTGAAGAATATTAGAAAAGATCTATTGATTCATGGTCGTGAAGGAATTGAAAGTGGGGGTCAAGTATGGTCAGAGCGTAGGAATAAAATTATGGGGAATGTTTCCATTTCAATGTTATTAAGAGCAGTAAGTCAAAATATGATGAAAGATTAATTCTCATCAAGTATATTTTCTATTCTCTTCGAAAGAAACTTCCAAAGTTCGGAAGGTAATATAATGTTTGCAAAATGCGTATAAATCTATTATATGTATGTAAATGTTAAGTTGGATTGCCATCATCATCACCATCATGATGATGACTTTACATTTGAACTTGACATTTATATATATGTTTATATAGATAATCAAAATGCGTATAAAATCGTAGGAACAGATAGTATAATATAAACTTCTGTACTCAATTTTAGTTTAGTAACAATATATGACATAAAAGATGCGATATTCACAAAATAAAGCCTCTCTTTTTAATCCATTTTAATCGTGTAGAGTCCACAGAGAATCAATTCAATTATTGTCTTTGCACATAGGGAAAGTGACATTTGAATAAAAAGCAATTTCCGAGAGATGTGTAATTTAATTCTGTTCTTTTTTCATTTGGTTTGGTGTTCAAACAATAAAATAAGATTAATAACCTGTCAAGCAATTATGTACATTTGAATTGAAGTTACATCGATGCCGTTTAGAGGTGTGATGTTGTGGTGTGTGTGTGTGTAAAAGTATATAAGTATTCTATCAGTCAATCTAGCTTTCATAGTACCTCTGCTTAGTTTGAAACTAGGTGGCGTTGTGTGTTAGATTTCCAAAAATATTATAAATACTATTATCTATAGAAATAATTGAAATTGAAGACTATTTGTAATGTCAAAATAATAGGTTTTTTCATGCTCATACGATTATTTGAACGACACCTTTGCTTAAAAACCAGTTTAATTTTTGTCTGTCTGTTTGTTCTGGGTTATATACTTAATGGTTGGACCGATTTTGATAATATTTTAGTACCAGGTAGCTGTCTATATAAGAAGTAACTTAGGCTATTTTTCCTTTCAGAAAAACCCTACAAAATTTTACCAGATCTGGGCATCAAACCCACTAGGGCAGCGCTTTTCAAATTCAACTACTAGTACTATTTTGCTATTGCTCGCGGTCTCGCTCACGTGATTAATTCTTATTTTGTGTTTCTAACTTTGAAAATGACGAATTTCTATACAATAGTTTTAGAGGAGTAAAATTAAAAAAAATCTTTTCTTAGTGAGTGTTTAGAAAATTTCAAGTTTGTAGCCCCAGCGTTGATGAATCAGGCAGTCAGTGCAAGTAACTATATATAGCGTGTAAGGGACGTCGTAATTAAAACTGAAGTAGTGTATTCAGACCATCATTCTAAATAAAAATCATTGGAATTTTCTGCCGGAATATTAAACATTTGATGCAATCAGCTGTCAAAAGTTAAGGTCATTCATTCCCCGTAAATATCGCACAAAAGCAATAACTACATTTGTATTACGTAGGGTTAGTTTCTGACATGCGGTCATTCATGCTGAATTAAAAAAAATCGATAAAAAGTTCAGTTTACTCATTATGATATCATTTTTCATCTTTTAACCAAAAAAATATTTAAAAAAAACTGCCATTAAATTCCAATAATTTTCGATTTTCGACGTTATGATGTCCTTTACACCCTATATATATATGTAGATTTACAAACTGACAGCTATTATAGTAAGTAAGTAAATGAAGTAGTTGAATAAAGGTATAAAAGTAGATTAAAAAATATCAATGTCGTATTGTTTTGGAAGTACAAGTAATTGCCAATTAAATTTGAACGACGACCAATAAACGAATTATGGAATGTGTGTCAATTACATATTAATGACTCATCTGAATTTCGGTGAGGGGACGGGCATGAGTGGACATTTTATTATATTTAAACTTGACTTCATATTAAAATGTAATTAAAGTTTTCTTTGAAAAAAAAAGACATCTCCCGCATTAGGAATATATATTTCTGTGTCGCAGGAGACTTTACAAATATACATGAAACGGAAACAAAGAACACCCAGACTCAGAACAATCATTTGTGGATCACACAGAGTGTTGTTCTATGGGGGGTCAAACCTACAACACTCGCAATAGGAAGCGGCGAGGTGACCGCTTAAACCACTATCCGTGCAGTCGCCATGAAATGAATTTAATAGAAGGAGGCCCAGGGAGTCCCCCATCGGATAGCCATACTTTGTCAGAAATGGTATGATACCAGGGCCTCAAAAAGAACTATCATTAAGTAACTTTTTCATTGCTTTTCACCGAGTGGGTGACGTTACCGGAGCCCAGATGTTGAGATCACAATAAAGTATTTGTGTTGTCTAATTGTTCTTGCTCTACTCTGTACTCAATGTTGTCTGTTTAAGCTAGCTAATGCCGTGCTATCAGCCGTGTGTGAATCTTTGTCGTAGATTTTAAATAAAGTTTTCTCAGTCAATTTAGCTTTGATTCCTCTAAAAAGCCTAACACCAGATCCAACCCTACCTGATTCTGGGGTGGAGGCTTTAGATTCAGGTCACCCTGGTCTAAGGTAGCCTCTTACCATCACTGCTATCTTACCGGGGGGTATACCATAAAAAAAGGGATCGCGTATAATTTTTTTTTAAATTAAAACCGACTTCAAGCAATACCAACAACGAACACTAAAAACTTAGAAAAACTATGCTGTCATTTTTGAGGAGTTCCGTTGTCTGTCTTTGAAACTCATAATCAGATCTATATGAAATTTTAATGGAATAGTAAATTAAAAAATGATAAACTAAATGTGAGAAAAAATTGTAACATTATATAAACCTATATAATTAAATGTAAAAAAAGTGTAGTATTCAGATGATTATGGCAATAGATCTGTGTAACCTCGTCGTACTTAATCCTTGAAGTACCGATAATATTCAGACACAGATTTGTTTCTACCTGCTAGTACTTGGCCAGACATCTGTTGTCTGGCCCAGTAGAGAGCTCGAGAAGTACTCACCCAGCTGCAGACAGTCCAAACTGGTGCTGTCCGAAGTCACACCACGACTCAATTGCAGACTAATCAGTCTTGGCCCTGAATCACCTAGCCCTGAACCGACAACTATTTACCATTAATGCGATGGATAGTCCTCTTCGCAGGGGATGCCTAAAAGCATAAGAATCGTAATCCTAAAATGCGAGGGAGTGGCCTTACAATGGGCAAGTACCATTCCTGACACAAAATCGCTTTTAGAAGCCTGTGAAAGCACAGGAGGCTTCTGCGCTTCTAGAAGGAGCTTGGTAGGTTCACCTAGCCAACCTTTTCTCGACACATGAAGGGCCATTCATGAGTCTAAATGCGGAAACCGAATCCCACAACCAATATCAATACAATACCTGTTAGTACTTTTATGTACAAAAGAATTTAATATATTTACTACTCTTGATCAAGGTATTACCTCTTCAGTTACTTAAATACACCGCGAAATAATTCTGTTCTTTTCCATAAAAATACAATAAACTTTATTGTACACCAGTTTGGAACATCATACGTACAATTTAGTATATCAAATTAATGACAAATGGCGGTCTTATCGCTAAAAAGATTTTTTTTGTTGGCAACCAGTTTTGGTATGCGAAAAATTTAAAAGAATCATAACATATTTACACAGCAAAACTGCATTTGATTTTGATAAATAGTCAATAATAAAGTATTACTGGTTATAATTCAGTCAGTGCAGTCAATATATAAGGTTTATATACATATATAAGTTTTTAAATAATGTAAGTTAATCAATTTTCTATTTAGTTTTGAAAATTACTTTTAAACTTTCCCTATCATTTTAATCCAAATAAGAAAGAGGGCAATCAAACGATATTCTAAAATTTAGAACCCAGTATATACTGTCAGATGTAATTCAAACTCTAAATCCTATTAAAATCAAGCCTACTCAGTCTGAGTGGTTTTTAATCTCTTAGACCTTTTACGACCAACTGAACAAATCTACAGATAAATTAGGGTGCTATTGTCAAGAAAGATATGAAAATTTACGAATGTTTTCTTTTTAAATTTATTAGGATTACTAGGGTAATAAATTTCGGATTATAACTTAACAAACATAATTCATAATTTAGTAATAAAAATTGAATTTACTATAGACGATGGCGTCGTGAGTCTAAGTGGGGAAATCAGAGCCCACTACCGATCCCAATTGACGTTATCGTGTCATAATTTTCTGAACTAAAAAAAAACAAGAACTACTTTTTATAAATGATTTCTGAAACATAATTATACGCTGCAAGCGTATAATTATGTTTCAGAAATCATACAGGTTCATAATGGTGTTCGTAGTATACCATATATACGAGTATATATTATATTTAAATATAATTATGGGATATCTAAAAAAGTAATATAATATACAATAAGTGCCTTTTAGAAACTATGTATTTTGTATAGTAATAACATAAGTCATGTTTTCGTTATTAGAGCTGATTTGCTATAGGTTATATAAACAGAGATTATTAAATATCTTATCAATGGCATCCATCTTGCCATAATAAAGTTTAAATGACAAACAACATATTCTTCTGAAATTGGAAGTACATTGTTAACTAAACCAGAACATCATTATAATATAAGGAAGTCAGGTTGAAAAGATTTTGTCATATTCATCTGACATATGTCATAAACAAAAGACACCTCATGTGTCATTTTGTAGTTGGTCCTGCAATCTTATGGGTCTTGGTGTAAGTAAAAGTTATAAATAAGAATACATTACCTACTGGTTGTGCACCAAACCAGCCAGGAGCCCATCCAGCACCAAGGCCCTTCCTCTGCCTCGCCAGGAGTTGTATTGTCAGCGCGTACGTCAGCAGCATCACTCCAAGAGGAATGTAGAAGGAAATAATGGATCCCACAGCTTTATAAAGAGGATCTGGTACTTGACAGGAGCCATCGATGAGAGCCGAATTTGGATCCTGGAATGAAATGTGTATTTAAGTCAAAGAAAATATCATATTCTTAGGTTACAGCCCGTTAAATGCTGTGCCCAAGACTGGGGGGGGGGGGGGGAGTTTAGCTGCTCCGATATTACATCGAGCGAGATGATGTGCTGCAGCATGGCTCTCCTACGTTTATTATAATATAAAATCACAAAACTATACAAATGAGTCATCTTTAATCGACTTTAAAAAAGAGATAGACCTCTTTTCGACAGTGTTTCTTGTCTTCCTAATGCAATATCGTTGCCATTTGTGGACCAAGATTAAGCATCTTTTTAAAATATTTTGGTGTAATTATTTAATCATTTTGTGTTAAATTTTGAAAAAAATATTTAATAGCTAGGGGTCTAAATTAAAGGTGAAATTTAAAGCGTATAGCTTATTTAAAAAATCATTAACTAATTTACAAAAGAAAATATTATTTCGAGAATTAAACTCGTGTCGTTGTCATCCGAATATGAATACATAATGTAGTATCTTCGAGTGGGCAATCAATCAATTTCATAGAAACTATTGATACAAAGGTGACCGCAAACCCTTACTGTTGAGTGTATTCAAGATTAATTAAGCGAATTAATTAGTTAATTAATTCGATATGAAGATCTCAATTTAATCGAGATCTGATACCTCTAAGAAACAGTAGGAGTATTATTATGGTATATGCGTTAGTACTCTCTTTTTTCATTTTTTGACACGATTCCCTGTGACCTGTGTATGACTTTCAATGGTGACAAATAAAAGAAAAGTTGTCATAGAGGATTGACATCATGCCTAATCAGGCCCTATTCCAGGGAAAACACTTTCCCCCCCAATCGCGGCGTGGCAGCCCTAAGGCCGCCATCCTATCCCTTACCGCAGCAGTCAATCTGCTACCAGAGGTCCCCAGTGTCTGGCGGCCCTCTCCCGATCCCGTTCAGTGGTCTCTTTCTGGAGCATTACAGCTTCACAGAAAGAGATCACTGCGCCCCATCCCTCCTCACCCGTCAGCATAACAGCAATCATTGCTGGCGGAGACAGATATCATCCGATTTGGTCGACCAGGACTTCGCGTTCACACGCCCACGCGGGGCAGTCTTCCTGAGCTGGGTGGAGTCCCAGTCGGCTGCACAGTGCTGGCACTGTAACATCTCGTCGCGTCCGATACGATTCAGGTACTCACCCCGAAGCAACCATGTTCAGTGAGCACCTACCGACTAACGTAGGCTGATAGGCGTTTGGCCCATATCGGAACTCGGTAGAGGGCCATGGGTCGTATCACCGCACAGTAGAGGCGGCGAACCTTCGCCCGCGGACCCCCTAGGCTAGGCAACAGCCTCTGTAGGGAGTCCGCCACCCCACGAACTCAGGGGCCTAGTCGACTGCTTTGAGCTCTTCTACCCGCTGTCAAACGAGTATGTTTATTTATTTTTGTAGTTTGAAAGCGTTTGCTTTCCTTTGTGTCGCCGGTCAAGGTGACTGACGGAACACTGAATATAATATACTTGATCGATTGCTAAACTAGCTGTTGAGGTGACTTTCAAAGTGGTATGCACATTTTCCTTAGTATAAAAATCAGTTACAATTAAGAACTGAAACAAAAATCGAATAGTTCTTAGCATATATTTTTGTAGCATTCCTTAATTTTCTACAAGAGTGATATTTTTTTCTTCAAATTTTCATGGGGTCAATCAAGAAGTAAACACACCTATATAAATAAAGAAATTTTTACATCAGATAATATTTCTGTTTTCTATTTTGAAAAGGCAATTCCCGCACTAGGAATATATCCAGTATCGCGGGGGACTTTACAAACATACATAAAATGGACACAAAGACCACTCAGACTCAGACACAATTTGCGAATCACACAAAGTGTTGTCCCATGTGTAGATCGAACCCACAACATTCAGCGCAGTAAAAAGCGGCGAGGATTTCTAAGGCAATAAGCATACCAAAATATAAAAAAGCTAATTGAGAAACTTCTGATTTTTGAAGATGCTTAAAAATAGGTTATTTTTATACTGTTCTAATACCAACAATTAATACCACAGTATCAGCTTTCTCTAACAGATTATCATATTGCAGAAAGAGGGAGAGAACAAAAATCACCGCTTTTTTTAATTAGCATAAGCGGCTATAATACCTTCAACAAGAACCTTGTCAACTTCATTATACATTATATGAGACTGGCCTTGACCAATATATTTTACACTTAGAAGCAGAAAAACGAACGAAGGGCTCGTAGCTAAGTGGTAATTGAGTAAGTTAGGACTTGCACATTTAAGCAATCCTAGCCAGGTCAGTATATGGAAACCCCTTCGTGCCTCGGAGAGCACGTCAAGCCGTCGGGACCTGGTTGACATACGAACATTTTGGCATTCTTTACGGGTAGTTGGAGCCCTAAAAAGTCTGACAACAGTCTATCTACAGAACTTCGACATCGCCTAGTAACTGGGTTGCGGAGATCTGACAGCAGTCGCTCCACCTTTTTTTGTTTTTTTCCGTGTGGAAATCCCCTCGGATACCACCTATCGGTGGCATGTCGGCCTCGAACCGACTAAAACCTCACGCCGTCTCGGGTACTAATAGCCGGGGAACCAGGTATACCCTAGAAAGGAAGTCCCTGGTGCCCCGACATACCTCGGGCCATCTACAATAAGTAGACGACCCCCCCGTGTGGGAACCCCATGTTCCCTCTGCTCCCTGGAAGCGAGCGCGCTTCGCAACGCGCTCGCCGCCACCCTGGGCTGCTTCTGATAGGGTGGCCTCACCTGTCACGCCCAGGCCTGCGCTTATGGAGGACGGAGGTCGTTCTGCGACCTCCGGCGCCTGAGTCGACTGCGGTACCTGGCCCGTTCCCGCTCCGCCGTCTCCGAGACGGCAGAGTTCCACGCACTCTCGCTCCGCACGATAGCCGCTATCGAGCGAGAGAACTCCCACTCCGATGGCCGCCACGAGGTCTCGCCTCTGCTCTACCCACACCGGGCACTCTGCCAGCGTGAGGAGAGCCGTGTCCACGGTCTGGCCATCGCAGTGGTGGAACTCACTCGTTGGCTTCTTGCGGATCAGACACAGGTGATCACCGAAACATCCTTTCCCAGTGATCACCTGCGTCAGTCGGTATGAGAGGGTTCCGTGACGCCTCTCGAGCCAATCCTCCATAACTGGTCTTATCGCCGCGATGACGGCGTGCCCGAGCAGTCGCTCCACCTAAAAAAATCTTAGTTCGGCCGTGTCGTAACAGACTGAAAATCGACCCCAAGCAACTTTGAGAATCGAATTCTAAGAATCGAATCAATTTAACAGTAATGTTGAAAATAAAATAAAAAAGGAATTCATAACATAGTCGTATAAGGTATATTAATGATTATATTATTTTTTAGTATATGTACTTTGAGTCCCCTGATTCTGGAAGGGGGTGGGGGGATTAAAGGGTGGCAAAGTACTTGATACTCTTCAGATAGATGTGTCTATGGTGGGTGGTGGTTGTCATTTACGATTATGTGATGGTTTTTTGCTCCCTATACTATAAAACGGTAACGTTTGTGTGAAAGTTTTTTTTTTTATAAAGGTCTTCTAGCAACCGAAATTACTAGTATTCCCGGTAATCCCTCCCGGGAAGCTAAATTTCTTGTGTTAGGAGTGGGTTCACGTGGGTAGTATACTGCTCGGTCAGGATTCGAACCGACTTCATCGTTCATCGTTTAAAGTTAGAAACACGAATTCCTACTACTATTATCATAATGTGAAAGTAACTCTGCCTGTCTGTTACGCTTTCACGGCTAAACAACGAGTAACATAGGATACTTTTTACCACAATAACCGACATACACGCAGGCCAAGTCACGAGCAAAGCTAGTCAGAAATAGCTAGTGCTACATATAAGAGTATTCGAAAAAGGTTTTCTTTTATGGCAATTACACTCTTATTTATTTTTCAATTATTACCTTTCAGTGCCAAGATAAGTATCATTTGTAGCCAAGTTAGATATTCGAACTTCTGAACGTAATATCATAACGTTTTATTGTTATTAGAACCTGAGCTCTGTGCTTCCAAGAATTTGGGGGCGCGCCCTAAAGTTAACTTCGTATAAAAACAAATTGATCATATGACTTACTTCGGTCAATGTTTTACGCAAATAGCTGTAATTACATAGACTTGAATAATATCTTATAATAATACGTGTGTGAGATGTCTCAAGTTATTATTATTATTATTACCTTGCTAAATATTGCCTTAATAAGAGAAAGAGAGAGAATAAGAGGCAATATTGGTTAGCGGCACATAAGCTTGCTTAATACGTAAGCGGGATAATAATTATATTAAATATGTCGGCAAAATGTGGGCGTTTTAATTCGCTTCTGTCAACCCCCTCGGGTATAAAAGTGTAACTTTATATAAATTTAAAACTAGCTTTAAAACTAGCGGTAAAAAGTAGCCTTTGTCTTTTCTCAAGAATCAGACTATCTCCATACCAAGTTTCATCGAAATCAGTTCAGCGGTTTAAGCGGGAAGAGTTTACAGACAGACAGACTTTTACATTTATAATATTAGTATGAATGGTGTCATTATCATCGTCATGACCTATTTTATCATCATGTGAAATATGGCTGGGGAATTACATCAGAAAGTGGGTTAGAAGGCGGGCCCTTCTAACCCTCTTTGGGAAGGCTTGCAATGAGGCCAAGACCCAATTAAATTGAGTTTATCTAATTAAAGTAATAACAATACAGAATATACAGCACATGACGTGTCACTGTATTTTTTAAAACAAAACTTATTAATACTTCAAGTAAGTTACAAGATTGGTAATAGTCACCATAACCAACAGAAGTTTTCTGCCTGGAAGAGATTGAGTTGTGCGACAAGTAACCACTTGGGCGAATATGTCTATGGCTGAAATTTTCTTTAATTATATTGACTTCCTTAGTAAGTGATAGTGTACGCGACTGCTGTGCTGAGGTCTCGAGTTAGATTCCCGTATCGGACCTAATGTTTGTATGATCTGCTAACATTTGTTTCGGAGTTTGGGTGTTTTTTATTTTTAATATGTATGTATTTACAAAAAAAAAAAGTAAATAAGTATTATGTCGGTTAATCTAGCTTTCATAGTAACAGGTCTGATTAGTTTGAAACTAGATGGCATTGTGTGTCAGATGTATGATTTTTTTTTATTGAATCCCCTCTGTATAACAACGACTATGGTTATTGTTGTATGTGTATTATCACTAAAACAACAAATCATTTACTACTATGTTAATAAATTTTTATTTTGATATATTTCTATAGAAAATTTATTTTAATTTCGTTACTTTGTATTAAATTCATCTGGTAAATTCATATCTCAACGCCTGTCTTTGAATGAAACGGTAGTAGAATCTACATATTTTTATTTAATGAAAGCTATTAAGAACTTGATCAAATAATTGATCTGCAAGTTTTCTATAAAGTATCAACTTTCAATATGAGTAATGGATTTTCCAATTCATTTGATCTTTTAACAGTAAATAAATACAGATCAAAATTTTCAAGATTTTATGTCAACGTTTACTTTTAATTATATCTCTAGTGGCCAATTAGCCGAAATTTACTATTTCAACTAAAAAATACTACACTACAAAAATTTAAGACATATTAAAAATCAAAGAAAATAATGATCTCATAGAAGTTTTTTTTTTGATAAAGTTAAATTCGAACTAAGGCCGTATGTATTCATCTGGTTCATACTAATTGATATTAATATACCAGTTAATACTATTAGTATTCGTAGATAAAATATTCTAGTTCAAAGGTAATCAAGAGTATTGTCAGTGTATCAGTGAAAGTTCTTGAACTATTCGGTAACTAAAAGTAAACTTTTACTGTAAATGTACAAAATATACGCGTTCAAAGGTCATCAATCGTCGTCATCAAAAATTTCTTCACCGATTGAGCTCAAACTTTGACACGAAAAACAACACGCTTCATAGATGGCTTTAATCTATTTTTTGTGTACTCCTTCCTAATAGGCCGGCAACGCCTTTGTGACTCCTGAGTTGCAGACGTTCATGGGCGGCGATGTTAGCTGTCTTTACCCGCAGAAAGAGAAGGAGGGTGATGGTCGCAATGGGTGCCGAGACCTTGGATGAGACGGGTCAATGCTCGTCGGGGGTGACGACTCTCTCCCGCGGCCATTATTAAGTAGAGGAACACCTGAGTCGATAAGAGTCCTACAAAACCCTTCGCCATCCCCATGGGCGAAGGAGATCCATAAGCATCTTCCACCACGGAAACAAAAAAAAGAAAAGGTTATTGATTGATTAGAAAATGGACTTGTGATCTCTAATTAATTCTGGAGTGCAAGCGATTAGCCTAGGTATATCTAGAAATCTGAATTGGATTTCATCGAATTGTGAAACAAACATTCATTATCGTATATATTGCTATATTTCAATAACAAAATTTAAATTGATAGCAATTGTTTTTGGAGCCATCAGATCAATATGTCTAGACTTAAAATAAGTTTTCATTATTGTCTGAATACATTTAAATTGAAAGCATTTTTTAAATTTAAACTTTCTTTGATGATTTGATACATACATGTACCTACATTTACGATAAGTACTTTTCATACTTGTCTTACCAACAGCACCAACGACAATTTGACCAGAATTGATTGAGGAGGTATTGTTAGATGACTGACGAAATAACTCTTTAAGTGGGTGAGTCGTTTTATAGGCAAAGTATGACACTAATAGGCCGTTTTGATCGGATTAATCATACATGCCCTCCGAGTCCAATATAATAACGCCTTCAGGGTACTGATGCAGTGTTTCGTTAGTGCATCGAGGATGTTTGCTGAACATCGCGTGGATTGCTTTTTGCTACGATGATACACATCTCTGGTGCGCAGAGTGCGCGGCAGCGTCAACAGTATCCTGAACATGATCTCTATTCGGCTGGACTGTAGTTACATCAATCGTTGCTCGAAGTCAAGTCCTACATTGAATAACAGTTAAGTAGCTCATTAATCGGTAACTATTCAGTTATTAGCTTTTACCCGCGGCTCCGCCTGCGTGTATGTCGTTTATCGCGGTAAAATGTTGGTTGTGGGTATATGGTATGTTTTTCCTCAAAAATCAAAGTATCTTTATACCAAATTTCATCTAAATCGGTTAATCAGTTACTGATTCCTCATACAAACTTCCACCCAACTTTTCACCCCTCAAAGGATGATTTCTGGGATAAAACTACTAAATATCCTTTCTCGGGACTCGAACGATCATAGTATGTCATGTAAATCGGTTTAGTGGTTTAGGCGTGAAGAGGTAACAAACAGACAGAAAGACAGACGGACAGACACACTTATGCATTTATAATATTAGAATGGATATAGAACATCGATAAAAGATATGTTAGAGATTTTGAACTTCTTGGTAATAGCCAGTCAGATTTACGGCTATGTGACCCTAATATAATAAGCTCTATTAGCATCTTTTAGATTGGAATTAAGAGAAAGAGCCTAAGCATTAGAAACAGTAAATAAAGTTTTCTTACGAACTAGACAAGGAATGTACACCACCTCGTGTGATAGCAGTGCCTCACAGAAAACTAGTGCTCAGCAACTTTTATGGTGCCTTTAAGCAAGTGACTGTGCGGTAACCGAATGAAAAATTTACCTTTAAATTTAAAATTTATAAATTTAAATTTAAAACCTACATTAGATGTAACTAATATAAATAAATACACTACTACATATCATGCTCGTATTAACATAGAAGTCCAGAAGTATAAAATAAATACGCAATAATATCATACATACATAATTAAAATAAATAGTGCATGTAAAGTCAATTAATATATCAAATCAAATAAAGGAGAATGACTATGAATATATGGACCACGGTACCGTATTACGTATATGCCAAAATTGTTTAAAAAAGTTTATAAAGGTTTTTAAACCTTACCGACTAAAAACACACACATACATAAATTTAATAGAATAAATGCTAAATTTCTACCAAATTTGTAGAATATGACCTGTGTAGTATTGCTTACCTTATAATACTTCAAAGTCAAAGGAAGGGTCATAGCAGATGATAATATCCAAACAAAAGTAATCTTGATGGTCACTCTTTTTCTCGTTTTGTTTCTCCCAAACCGCATTGGATACCGTAATGAAAGATATCTGCAAAACATAATAAAATCTTAGTATCTGTTGGTCAACATTTAATTATTACTTCAATATATTTTAAGATAAGATATCCGTATAGTGACGGATTAAGAATACAGAGTGTCACCACCCCTATTCATCCAGTGGGTAGCGTAAGAGTCGATTAAGGGAGCAAACTACGCAGGATAACAGCACTGCAAAGAGAAGAAAAAGTTGAAACAATCCCTTTTTTTTTTTTTTTTTTTTTTTTTTAACGTGTGGAAATCCCCTCGGACCGTCACCCCTCCGGGGTTTGCGGCGGGGTGGTGTGTCGGACTCGGACCGACTAAAACCACACGGTGTGCCACTCTGCGCCTGTAACAGGAGGGATCCGGGTGCTAGGCTAGAAAACCTCCTCGTGGTGCACCCTGGAAACGCTGGCGATGGTACTGTTTCCTACTTGTCCTCTTGGAGGAGAGGATTATCGCCAGCGGCCAATATTCTAGCAGAAGAGGTAGCCGTTCATCGGCTCTCGGGCAAGGCCTGGTCCAGCAGGGTGGGCGTGTCTGCCGGTTGCCCTGCTGGCTCTTCGCTCTTCGGAGCATGAAGGAGGAAACCTCGGTAAAAAACCGGATGACGGGGCCCTGTAGGGGCCACAGTTTCTCCGCTGACAGCGGTGGAGAAAGGAGGACGGGCTCGGCGTGTACTGACACTACCACCGAGCAGGCAGGGGGACGTAGTCTCCCTGTCAACCGTCGGCATATCGTAATCCCGAGAAGAGCGCTGTGGTTAAGTCTCGCGGCTCTGATCGGGGGCGAGGGTCTTGGCTTAACCGCCCGGACCGCGAGGAAGATAACCTCTCTAAAAAAAAACCCTACGTCAACCTGTCTGGCCAGCGTGGTATAGTAGGCCAATACCTCGTTTCTAAGGAGAGGCCTATGTTCAGCGGTGGACTAGTAAAGGCTGTTGATGATGATATTTTAAGACTTTGAAACGAATACTTAGGACATTATAATATGTACAGAACTCCAAAACTCAGAATTCTACATTTAATAGAAATTTAGATATATTTTTGTATTTAAACCAAAGAAACAAAATTGTGTCAAAAACCAGTAAACGTTACTGTCATACTATGAAAATTGACATGAAATGTGTGAGTACGATAGTCCGTAATTTAAAGTTTCTAAAGCACTAAAATATCTTGCATATGATCCGCAGTCATGCTCATAACAGGTTCTTTTTCGTAAAACGAGCTTCGTTGTGCTTTGATAATGTAACTTAATTATTTTAAGTGCAGAATAAAAAATAATTCAGAAATTTTTTGTAGTTTTTGTTTGTATTTTGCAAGTTATAAAAAAACAACTGTTTTCACAACATACCTGTCTACACTTATGGTGCAAAGGTGCATTATCGATGCGGTACAGAGTAATACGTCGAGGCAAATCCAAGTTAAGCAGTAGTTGGCTGGCAATGGAAAGTAACCTGGAACAAACAAGGTCAATTATTTTTATTAGGAAGTAAGGTATTGACTAATCTTATAATACCAGATCCTGGACGCGGCGCTCGAACTATCATTAAAGGCCTTTAATGGTCCACTACTGGATATAGGCCTCTCCTTAGAAAAAATATTTTGGCCTGCCATACCACGCTGGCCAGAGGAGTTGGTATAGGGTTTGTTTCAAGTTTTGCTTCTCTTTGCAGTACTGTTGTCTTGCGCAGTTGGCTCCCTTAGTCGGCTCTTACGACACCCGCGGGATGAACAGGGGTTTTGACACTTTGTATTCTTAATCCGCCACCACATAGACAACAAAAGCTTGAACTATTGAAGAACTATTCTGCCTGTTTGTGTATTGGTTAGTGACCCTGACTGCTCAGCCGAAGGACGTGGGATCGATTCCCACCCAGGATCGATTCTGTATCTGGATATAACTTATTTAAAATATGTATATAATTAGAAATATAAAAGTATATTACGCAGGCTGGTTACCATAGTACAGGCTCTGACTAGTGTGGGATCAGACAGCCACTTGTAAGAATTTGAAGTTATCATAATATTCTGCCAAGCAGTTCAGGTATTAATCGACATCAGATTTGTGTGAGAGCATTTGTACAAATTTCATAATTTTAGTTTCATTACATATTGATATCGGCAAATCACAAAAGCGGAGTTAATGCCACATGACATTATCTATCAACCTTGGGGTAATACAACAAGGGACATAGATTTTACAAGATCATAAATATTGCGTTGACTCTTGAAACTTTACTCTATTTACATTTGCATATCTTCTTAAATTGCCGAGAAATAATTATAAAACCCATATTCCAAGAATTGATACTGATAACAATTTAAATTTTTTGAAAAAAAAGTCTTGTTGAAAGAGTAAAGATATTTACTAAATAAATTTTTGCCTGATCGACTGCAAAATTTTTATATAATTTACTGTTAGGTGTAACGTTTGATATTAAAATAAATTTGATTAATATTTTACATAGCGTATAGTCTAAAAATCGATTGGTTGGTTTTATCCTTATTATCAAATCAAAAGGTCACAAGTTACTATTTATAGTTTGTTATAGAAACTTCCACTAACTACTACGTGACAATATTTATTAACAAAAACATTTATTTTATAAGCGAGTCACTACGTTATAAATAACTTTACAAAATTTACTTTTTAAACAAAAAATGTCGCTTTACGTGCTGTTGAAAGAAAATTAAATATAATACCTCCCACTTAGTTAGAACATTAAGTAAATGCATTTAAGTGAATACTTCGTTTTATTCCGAGCGCTTCATAGCTGTCTTCTTTTGTGACCTAAAGTAATTGCATCAGTCTCACACGTTCCGTACGTTAGTCCTCGGTTCGCTTCAATGACATCGAAATTCTTTTCCAGATATTTATTGAATTTAATTGATTGACTGCCTTTACTTTCTGTTATTTGACTGCACGGATGGTGTAGTGGTATAAGCGGTCGCCATGTCGTTTCCTGCTGCGCTTAGTGTTGTGGGTGCGAAATTGCTGGGTATTGTCTGGGTGTTCTTTGTGTCCGTTTCATGTATGTTTGTAAATTCCCCGCGACATAGGATAATAATATATTCGTAATGCGGGAGTTGTCTTTTAAAAAGAAAAAAAAAATACAGTGGCACTCCGGGAGTATCAACAGAAGTGAAACTTAAATTTCTTTTTTTTTTATTATAACAGGTTTTTTTTTGGTTTTTCGATTTGAAAAGTTCCGACATGAATCTTTGTTGTACGTATATAGACAAGATAATTTTATATTTTATATAGTTATATTTTCGATTTATTTCAACCCAAACTCAACTCTCGTGCAAACGGGGCCAATATATGTAGATACTTATATATAGAGGTGTCAGTAACGGTAACAATGTCGCGAGTTCAATAGTTTTTTCCCATCTCAAAAATATATTATTTTGTTTGTTATTCAAAAATGCCCAAGGATACTTCAAAAAGATACAGAGGGGGTCAAACGACAGGCGGGATGGTTAGTTACAACAGTCGCTCATGGATAGTCAAGTGTCATAAGCTTGTTGCTGCCCTTGGAGAAGAATCAGGGTTGTTACGGTATCTCAAATCTCCCTTGGGTATGGGCAACGCTAAATTCGCTCGATCGGTAAAAAACAATGAGAGAATTGAGTACCACCAATATTTTGTGGAGCCGTGGTATCACTCCGATCGAGTCGACCCATTTGTTCCGAAACATGTCCTATTTGTCCCACGAACATAGGACTCTAACGAAAATAGTTAAAGACCATAATTCCTAAGGTGGAGGCAATAAGCAAAAGTCTAGGAAATTAGTGTAAGTACAAATCTAGGCGCACTTAACAATAATTCTGTATTCATTTTGTGCTCAAACATTGTAATCGTAAATGCGATATCAGGGTGATATTTATTTCAAAATTAACACCTTAATAAATTTTGTATCTCTCAATAATTTCTATTTACATAGTTTCATAACACGAAAAGTTGAACATAGTTGAAGGCCAAAGGGCAAAACACTCCGCTTATTTCTGGTTCGGTGCAACCACTACTAACAGTATTGAATGATTTGACAGCCCTTAAAAGATTTTTCAACCTATCAAACCAAGAAAAGAAAAATAATGCGTGTACTTTAAGTGACGTATCGGTACCTTTTAGTGTAATACTCGTACCGTCTTTACGGACTAGTGGCCGCTATATGGTGCCGGTGCGCTGCAAGCTGGGACGGGACATATATAAAATATTTACAAGCATGATTCAGTCTAGTGTCTAGGTAGAAAAGAAGTGAAGTGTCTGAAAAACCTGGGAGTATAATAACGGCAGACCAGCAAAGTCAACTCACATTTTCATATTGAAATTTGATTATTATACGGAGACAATTCTTGTGTTACGTGTGGTGTATTTAATGTGCTAAGGAAATTGCCTTAAGGGTATCGTTAAATTGTGTCGTAACGTATGGGTCACACATACGTATGTGTATTGTGTCTTTAACGATCGTACTTTGTCATATTTCACGTGTGAATTCTGTTTATTATATCCGTCTTAAACTGATATTGCGAATATATTGTTCAATGTAATGAAAACAAATTCGTCAATTTATAGTCTTACGTGAAATTATTGTCTGTCTGTAAGAACTTTTTATTCTGTTTATGTGGAGTCATCATCATCAGTCGTTTGTATCTGTGCGAATACAAATGGTGTATTAAAAAGAAAAATTATCGTCACAAACGACAGCATATAAACACATTATGGGCATTTTTCTAGCAACTGCTTTAGTTAAAGACGAAATTTGAGTCCCAGACATTGTGTGTAGAATTCTAAACTTATAAACATTGCAAAGTAAATATGTCACTAGACAGAATAATAACTCCATAGAGCACCTGGTTGTTCAGGGAAAAAGGAAGAGAACCAGATTCGCTGGACTGACCTTGTGAAATCCGAAGTAAGAAGCCGAGTATCTGACTGTATCCGACAGTCTGGCCGTAGGGAGAGATAGTGGGATTTGACTTTTTATAAAGTATTAAGTATAATCGTTTTAATGGTCGTTCGATAATTAAAATTTTAATGACAGTGAAACAGAATATCTGTAACGTAATATCTTTCTTTCAGGACTTTAATGAACACTTGTTTTGTCTATGGAACAGTATTCTTAACCGACATCAAAAACACAAAAGAGGTGGTTCTCAATTCGTCTGTTTTTTTTAAATGTTTGTTACGCGATATCTCCGTCAATTGTATACTGATTTGAAAAAATCATTTTGTAATCGAAAGGGTATACTCCCAATGTAGTCGCATTACCGCCAAATCAGGATTTGACTATGGCATCTCAGAGAATTCAAGGGAAATCCTTAAATTATACAGCCGCGACAACGTGTTTTAGCTTTTTTTCTACAGCTATAGAGTTGTTTACGTTTGGTAGTCTCATGTTGCTGAGCTGATGATGGAAGGTGGATGTCCTTGATCTTAGGAGTTAGAGCATAATTTTATGATCATGTATTGAACTTGTTTTATTCTTTCAAGATATTTGTTAGGTGTTTGTGTTACAGAGAAAAATGCATAAGGAAGAAAAAAGGAGATTACAATACAAAACATTTAGACTAAAAAATGATTTTACGCAATTATTTTCATGTTTGTTACTTCAAAACTCTTGCATTTGTAAACAGATTTGGAAAAATCTTTTTTATTTGGAAAGGTAGGTATACTTCCAATTTGGATTCATTAAAATGTGAAGAAATAAATCCTCTTTTTTGTTTTGTTTTGTTCTCAAAATCGTGTTATACATTCTTATTAGTTTTTTTTTATTTTGCGAATTTCACGTGATCATTGTTTGTATTTATCCTGAAAATGTCAAACACATCTGTTTTAACAAAATAAAAATATATGCAATCATCTTTTTTTTTGTGTTCTATCTGCTACTTGGCCATCTATGTTGACACAACAAGCCAATCATTTAGTATATAATTAACTTAGTTATTATTATATATTTATAGTTATTATATGTCATTATTATCAGAAAGAATAACTGGGAATTCCCTTTGAATTCCTTAATCAAATCTCGCGGTCAACGTAGGGACGTCATGGCGCTTGGCGACACTGCCAGTACCGTGTAGTTTCGCAGCCAACTCATTAACGTGAGTAGATGTTCACGTTTGATAGCGTTTACTGTACTTAGCAATGGCTTGTCTAACTGTCTTGATGTTCAAATTCGCGTGTATGTATTTGTTGCGCACGTAATACGGTATGTTTTACGTTTTCTTATTTTTTTTTTGAATTTCGAACTTAGAGCAAGTACAAGTATAATAAGTAAAAATGGCCACAATTCTCTAAACCTTTTCCACAATTGCGGTGTAGCATACTGTTTATTTCTATAATCATAATGATAGAAAATCTACGCTTATGTACTTAGACGTGTAAGAAGTTTTTAGTTAGTGTTGTTCTTCTTCGTATGAGCCGCGTTTTTGTATACTTACCTATGGCTGT